CTGTAAGACTCTTGCCCCCAACAATCTGGGTCCTCATTTTACCCACCTTGGAAGGACGGAAGGCTGAGTCAACATTGAGCCTGGTGAGATTTGAACTGCAGCTAGCAGTCAGCTGAAGTAAGCAGCAGTACTGCACTCTAACCACTGTGCCACCTCGGCTTTTAACCAGGGATGCCGTTTGAGGGAACCAGGAGTGCCGTTTGAGATATCTGTGGCTTTTGAGTTCTACAGAAGCATTTAGACCTAAGCTGTAGATTTCCATTTCTGGAAATGAATAGGATAGGATAGGATAGGATAGGATAGGATAGGATAGGGTAGGGTAGGGTAGAGTAGAATAGAATAACAGAATTGGAAGGGACCTTGAAGGTTTTCTAGTCCAACCCCCTGCTTAGGCAGGAAACCCTACACCACTTCAGACAAATGGTTGTCCAACCTCTTCTTAAGAACTTCCAGTGTTGGAGCATTCACAACTTCTGGAGGCAAGTTCTTCCACTGGTTAATTGTTCTGTCAGGAAATTTCTCCTTAGTTCTAGGTTGCTTCTCTCCTTGATTAGTTTCCACCCACTGCTTCTTGTTCTACACTCCGGTGCCTTGAAGAATAGTTTGACTCCCTCTTCTTTGTGGATGATAATGGTGAAGAAGAATGAACGAAGGGCACACATCTTTTTAACCAAGATGGGAAACTTTCTGGGAGGATACTTCTTTTCATTGCCTTAGTCAGGATAGCTAGTCCTTGACTTATAACCCTTTGGGTAGGCATCATTTGAAGTTACAATGGTGCTGGAAAAAAAAGAGTCCATGAGGAATGGAAATCAGCCTGTGGAAAGGGAGCAAATTGGGACTGCCAAGGAGGTAGCCTCAGGAGTTCATATCTTCCTAACTCAGGACATCTTTCTCTTCTTTTCCAAGGTCAGAGCTGCCTTTAAGCACAAAACGAAGGTGTGGTCACTAACCAGCAGCTCCATCCGCAACATCAATGTGAAAGCTTTCAATTCTGACATTGTAAGTATGGCTAGAACCCCTCAGATTTCTGTCTTCCTCTAAGGAGAATGGAACACCCCATATAAATGAAATTGGAAAAGGTTCTTTCCTACCATGTCTTCTCCAGCATGTTCTGCTCCAGACCTATGTTCTGTTTTCAAATCGTCATTATTGGTGATTCAGAATAACAGAGCTGGAAGGGACTTTGGAGGTCTTCTACTCCATCCCTTTCATCTCCATCCCCAAGCAGGAGACTCTAGACCAGGGGTGGCTGGCTGGGGAAATCTGAGAGTTGAAGTCCACAAGTCTTAAAGTTCCCAAGTTTGGACACCCCTGGTCTAGACCATTCCAATACTGGAATCCAGTTGGGAACCATCCAGGTTTATTCCAGTGGCACCAATATTGATTTCCACTTCATGCTGACTTTGGTAGGGGCAGAGGTGGGTTCCTATTGGTTCGGACCAGTTCAGCCAAACAGGTAGTAACTTGGTGGCCTGGGTCGCTGGAATCGGTAGTGATCCAGGCCTGCCACATCATTGAACCGGTTCTCCCACGGCATTGCCATCTTGATTTTCAGTTCTGTGAATGCGCAGAACAAATTTCATTGCAGAAATGTATTTTAATTTAATTTAATTTAATTAACCACATTTATATGCCACCCAATCACGAAGGACTCCGGGCGGCTTACAAAAATAAAGAGAGAGAAAAAAGACACATAACGAACACATAACAAAAGAAAACGGTTTAAAATAGCAAAACTGCTATTTCCCCCCCTTTTTAACATTTTGTACCCGCACAGACATTTTTAGATGCAAATGTACATTTTTTGCGCACCAAACTGGCAGCCGAAATGGGCAGTAACCCACCCCTGGCAGGGTCTCTCCTATGAGAAGGCTACTTCCATTGTATTTATTGGGAATGTCCATGCATCATGGCAACCTAAGTAAAGACTTAGAAGCCTGTTTAGATTGGGTTTGGTTGATCCTTGAACATTATGTTTCTTTTAGGTTCAGTGTCTTTCAGCTAATCCAGCCCATTTTAGAAGTCTATGATTCAACATAGTAGCCCAATCCTCCAAATGGGTGAAATCACTAATTAAATAAACACATTGTGTGAACATTGTCCTCTTAACTTGGTAGACCTGAAGAGGACCTAGTGAAATTCATGGGCGAAACAGGCCATCAGGTGCTGCTACTGTAAGTGGGTGCAGAAGTGGTATTCAGCCAGTTCGAATTGGTTCTGGCGTACCAGTAGCAGAAATTTTGAGTAGTTTGGAGAACTGGCAAATGCCACCTCTGGCTGGCCCCGCCCTCCTGCCCACACTGTTCCCTATCCTATATTCCCTTGTTTTTTAGCTCAGCTGATTCATGTGGCAGAGTGGATTGCTACGCCTCAGCTGAGGTAAAAAAAGCTCAGCTCACCAGCGCTGACACCGAGGGTGGTCTTTGAGTGCTGCACGCATGCACGAAGCACACTGTCCTAGAACCGGTAGGAGAGATTTGGAATCCCACCACTAAATGGGTTGTATTAGAGACGAGATGCTCATAGGTAGCATCACTGAAAGACCAGTTGTTGGGGACAAATCCAAGAAGAAGGTAGTCACTCTCTTACCTGTGCTTGGGAGGTCTGTCATATGATGCATAAACCTGGACCAGATGAGTTTCATCTTGAATCCAAGAGGTGCACGAGAGGAAGTGTGTAGGTACTGAATATTAGCAATTCCTCAATACTTCATCAATGAGGGGTCCTTGGTGCTCTCTGAGCTTGGTTGTTTTTTCCAGATGTTTCATTACTAGGTAACATCATCACTGCTGGATAACAAACTAGGCAATATCACTAGCACTGATGATGTTATCTAGTTTGTGTAAAGAAACATCTGCAAGAAAACAAACAAACTCAGAGAGCAACAAAGACCCCCGCATTTCAACCCTGATCTCCAAATATCCTCCTTTATTGCTCCATCAATTATCGAAATTCTTTCTTTCTCAATCCAGATAACTGTAACCAAGCCCGCAACAACGCCAACCAAAGTCAACACTAATGACAAAAGCAGTCATTCTGGCAACAAGATCGATCTTTCCGCCGTCTGACATCGGCCCCTGTTGGCCCTTCCTTCTGAGACCCAGGCAGACCACACCCTCAGGATCTTCGATTTGTTGCCTGACTACCTATTACTCTCTGAGAATTTGTTCCCGTAGGAAGCACCTCTTTACTTCCTTCCTGCTAAATTGAGGAGGGGCAAAATTGCCCATTGGACTGAATCCATACTTTCAGATTTTCTGGGCTTGGTGTGACCTCTTTTTGGCTGGGAGGACTAGCTATAGAATAGCCAAGGGACATTTTACACTGGATGGTCATCTAAGCACTGGCAGGGATGAAGCTGAGGAAGATGGGTGGGGAAGCCCCAAAGGTGCTTTTTCAAGAGGCAGCTGGACTTTCTGGTTTTTCTTTGAAGACGTTTCACTTCTCATCCAAGAAGCTTCTACAGCTGTGACCGACTGGTGCACTCAGATGTTGGTGGTACACTTGTCCGCCCCAAGGATAAAATACCCAGACACAAACTGAGCAACGTTGTATATGCACTATAATGCAATGAGCCTTGTACAGATCTGTATATTGGGGAAACAAAACAGCCACTTCATAAACGCATGGCTCAACATAGGAGAAACAAACCCATCAGGACTAGATTCAGCCATCCACCTTTATTTAAAAGACAAATGCCATTATTTTGAAGACAGCAAAGTCCACATTTTGGATGGAGAGGACCACTAGTTTGAATGAGGGATTGAAGAGACCATCTGTGTCAAAATTGAACAGCCTTCTCTCAACAGAGGAGGGGGGAGAGGCAACATCATCTATCACCAGTCTACAACACAGGAGTCCTTTCAGCAGTTCCAAGAAGGCTCTGCACCCATATGGACCACTTAGGTGACCCTGAGGACACAGATAAACCTCCAAGTGTCCTCAAGGACCCTCTAAAAGGATGCAAATGACCAGCTGTCTGCAAGGAATATAAATCCTTCCATTCCCCACCATCTGGTCTGAGCTGAAGAAGCTTCTTGGATGAGAAGCAAAATGTCTTCAAAGAAAAACCAGGAAGCCCAGTTGCCTCTTGAAAAAAGCACTTTTGGGACAACCAGGACCTTGGAGGACTGAGAAACTCCATAGACATGTGTGGGGAAGAGAACTCCACTAGATTCTCTGGATCTGAAAGGCTAAATTTTCTCATGACACTAACATTGAGGAGCTCTTGACCAGCTCTCTATATGTCTATGCATTAAATAGTTGAAGGATACAAAGGAGAGACCAGGAAATAAGNCCACAAATCTCCTTCCTTAACTCTATTAGCTCCAAATGTTCTTTCTGACTCTCTTTGCTTTAAAAAAAAATAACAATAAGAATTTGATTTTATCGTTTCAGGGTTTTTTCATCTTTCTCTTTCATTGCCTCCTGAACTCAGAGGTATGTTCCCATCTCCACCCCATTTCAGGGAATAAAATCCAGTTGATGCTGAATAAAATAAAATCCAGTTGATGCTGGAATAAGAATATTGTTATGTATCCTGTTAGCAGGGAAAATAATACATTGATTTAAAGTTTATGCTGTGAAACAGCCCTTGTGTTAGGGGAAATGTGGCCATTTAATTACAAGGCTCTAGGGAAAATATCTTTTGTTTTGCTACAGAACATGTATAGTTTATATAATGGTATATTTAGCTGTCACCCCCATAATTTATAGCGTTCGCAGAGAACTAGTCCGTCAAGGACTCCAGGCGTTAAAGCAAACAGCCACTGTTCATATACCCGGATTTTTATTATTATTTTTTACTCTATATCTGGTTAAATCAAAGCTCATGGCATAGCTACTTAGTTCTTTTGAAATATTACCACCCAATTATCATCTAAAAATGCCAGAAGGGACTTCATTAATTATGTCAGGAATAACCATGTCAACTGTACTGAATTAGTGAATGGAATTTAATTTGGATTGCATTTATAAGCAAATTCAATCAAATTGCATTTTTGTCCTACCCTTAAGGGCTTCTTTCACCTGGTGATTTTTGAGAGCACAATTATAGCCACATTGCGGGCAACGACAACCTCATGTTCCCAAGGTTGTGTAAACCCAGGATTGGCAACTCAATGACCTCCAGATGTTTTCCCCAAAACTTATCAGGGTTTTTAAAGAAAATGTTAGGGAGTTTGAGTGCTGGAGCTGAATATGTCACAAGGCCTCCAGGATGTCACCTTCTGCTGTAGTTGCAAAGATTGGAAGAACCCATAATGATGTCCCAAAGGTTCTTTTCAGATTAACGGAGTTGGAAAGGACCTTGTAGATCATCTAGTCCAACCTCCCACTGAAGCAGGAGACCCTATACCATTTCTGACAGATGGCAGTCCAGTCTCTTCTTGAAAGCCACTAGGNAGAGTATGGAAGATTAGCTTTTCATGCTAATTCAAATCTAAGCATGTCCAGATGAAGCTAGAAAGATTTTGCCTGGCGACCTGAAGATACATTATTAATGCATTGTAGAAAATGACCCAACTTGGTTATCTGTCTAATTTGTCCTAGGATAATTGGTCTTTGTTATATCCAACACCTTCTTAAAGACTTCCAGTGTTGGAGCATTGTCCCACTGATTAATTGTTCTCACTGTCAGGGCATTTCTCTTCAGTTCCAAGTTGCTTCTCTCCTTGATTAGTTTCCACCCATTGCTTCTTGCCCTGCCCTCAAGTGCCTTGGAGAAAAGCTTAATCCCCCTTCTTTGTAGCAGCCCCTGAGATATTGGAACACCGCTATCATGTCACCCATGGTCCTTCTTTTCATCAGACTAGACATACTGGGTTCCTGCAGCATTACCTTGGAATGGTTGTCTGCATCTTAAGACCCATAACTTCCTGTCCACCTTTGATGTCTTGATTTGATGGCACGGTAGACTTCACGGTAGACTCCATCTCATATAGCTTCATAGCTCCATAATTTCCATCCCTGTGATTTCTTGGTCTTCACAGAATGCAGAAGTTATCTCTCGATGCCTTCCCATCTTCCGGCTACCTACCAAATGAGGCAGCTTGTGGTCTAATTCACCTGCAGATATGTACCACGCCCAGATGTTTCATAATGACCCATTAACTTCTCCCTCTCTGTCCCTTTTGCCTATGGGTGTTCACCATAATTTAGGAGTACATTGGCACTGTCACCAGTACTAATCATAGTATGAAGGTCTAGTTTTTTGACTATCCTTAGAACTGGGGTTCCACATTCCAGCTTGAACTAACCAGGGTTAAATTGAACTAATTGTGGTTAAAATTCATGATGATCAGGGGTCACCAATTTTAAACACTCAAAGAGCCATTTGGACCCATTTCCCACAGAAAAAAACACAGGGCGCCACAAAAACCCTTCCCATGCCTGACTTATTTCCTGAGCAGCCACAAAACTAGCCTATGTAGTTGAATTAAAGGTTATGTTTTCTTCTGAAACTTTTCTTTTCTTGGATTTATCCATGGTTGCCCACCGGGGGTCGAAAAGCTCAATAAATCACATGCCCATGAGTGTTGCACATTGGGATGAAGAGGGATGAAAGAGTCACATGCAGCTCCAGAGCTGGGGTTGCTGCCCCCTGATTTAGATAAAACTTTGCTATTACAATCTGCTTACAACTGAAGGCTTAGCAGGCACATTCATACAACACACTAAATGTAGGGCAGTTAGCTCCCATTTATGTTGAACATTTTGTGGCTTATCCTGTTGGTTGCCTTAGAAATCTGTATGTTGTATAAACCCAGAAGGTTAAACTAAGTTCTGAAATCAGAATAAATGTGCTTACTTTTCGTAGTTCAATTTCCATCTCCTCCTATGCATTTAAATACCCCTTTCTTAAGCATTTAAAAAATTTAAAAACTTTTCAAACACCAGATTGGATTTAGAGTAACAAGACACTGTATTAAAAATCCTCCTTTCAGTACTTTTTTTTTAAAAAAGAGAAGAAAGCTATATTTAATCCTCTCTATATATATTTTGTGTTGCTTGAGCTTGTTGTATTTTGAGTTTGTGATATACAGGGTTACAAGCATGCATATATATGCATGTACATTAAATGTAAATAAGCCATAAATTTTTATTTTCAATAGTTCATCATCCTGAATGGTATATATTTTTTCATTGTGTTGCTGAATGCAGTAAATATGCCCGAGGATTTTCGGTTCCCCCCCACACTATTTTTTCCTTTTTTTAAATCCCCGCCTGTAGCCTTTTTCTAAAATATGAATACCCCAGCATTTATTTATGGGTCTTATTTTTTCCAGCTTTTTGCAATCTGTCTTCGGAGCAGCGTGGGGATGTCAACAATATGAAAGCTTAATTGAATGAGATGTGATCTTAAAAATAGATTAAATAGCAGCAAAAATGATGACTTTGCCCGTATAGGAATAAAATGGTTAAATAGATCACCAATATCTTTTCTTCTTCTTCTTTTTTCTTGACTGGAACAACAGTAGGGAAAAAAAACCTCCTCTCTTCTAATCCAAAGTGGATATGGACTTGACATTAGTAGAAATAGTATAAATAGAGACGTAGCACCAATAGAGACAATTTGTAGGCCAAGGTTGAACTATTGGGTCCATGGTCTTGTCTGAGCTTGGTGGTGTCAACTGGCCTGCTCTTAGGGCATCTGTCAGAACCCCAACAGCTGGTTTTCTTGCAGAGGTTTCATTGTGCAATAAGGTAATGTCATTAGGAACTAAAAGGGAGACAGCTTTGTGGAAAGGAGGAGGAGGACGACAACTGTGGGCTCCTTGGTGCTCTCAGAGCTTGGTGTGTTACTTAAGACATTTCATTACCTAACAAGGTAACATTATCAGGGCTGAATGGGAGACAGATTTGTAGAGAGGAGGAGGAGGAGGGGAAGAGGAAGAGGAGGAAAAGGAAGAAGGAGAAGAAGAAGGAGAAGAAAGAAAAGACTGTGGCTCCTTAGTGCTCGCTGAACTTGTTGGGTTTCTTGCAGATGTTTCATTGTCCAGCTAGGTAACATCATCAAGTCTAGAAGGGAGACAAGTTTTTGGAAAGGGGGAGGAAGAGGAGGTGGACTATGGGTTCCTTGGTGCTCTCTGAGCTTGGTGTGTTTCTTGAAGACATTTCATTACCCAACTAGGTAACCTCATCAACTCTAAAAGGAAGGCAGATTTGTGGAAAGGAGGAGGAGGAGGAGGAGGAGGAGGAGGAGGAGGAGGAGGAGGAGGAGGAGGAGGAGGAGAAAGACTGTGGGCTCCTTGGTGCTCTCTGAACTTGGTGGATTTCTTGCAGATGTTTCATTGCCCAGCTAGGTAACATCATCAGGTCTAAAAGGGAGACAGGTTTTTGGAAAGGAGGAGGAGGAAGACTGTGGAGTCCTTGGTGCTCTCTGAACTTGGTTGTTTTCTTGCAGATGTTTCATTAGCCAATTAGGTAACATCATCAACTAATGTTCTGCTGGTTGCTTAACAATCATAGCAAAGAAGCCCTCAAATCACATGCAATTCTCTTAGCAACTGCCTTGTCCCAACTGTCGTTGTACGTTGAGGACTACCTGTAACGTCCTACTAATGCAATTCCCA